AGAACACGACTGCAGGCAAATTTGTAGCGCCGACAAAATTTGCACTATTCACGTTTTCACTATTCACGGAATAGTAACTTACTATTCATATGAATAGTAATACCACAAAAATTACAGAACTAACAACCAGCTCTGATACCAGTTGTTGGGAAAAATATGTTGAATCTTCCCATATGGTCAGATCTGTGAAAGTGAAATAAAAGCGGAATAATTGCACACATCAATTGATAACGGAGTTCGGCCAATAATGCCTACGTCTCCGGACTACTGCATATTTCTTAGTAGGAGAAAAGAAAAATACACAAGTGTTTACAAAACACTCTCAAAAAACACTCACAACCCAATTACACCCAGAAGCTAAACTAAAACTCTCTAGTTTTTCTGCCTCTCGCTGGTGCCACTCTTTCTTCTCTAAGAGAAGTAATATTTTTGTGTGGGATGAAATGCTTATGCTTGCAGGAAGAAGACCAATTTATAGCAAAAATTGGTACTGTGCATTACCATAAAATATGTCTCGTGGGTACCTCATGCTTGAATAAAAATTGGCGACCACCCTTTTCTTCCGTGCTTTCGGTGCAAATGAGAAAGTTGGTTGTCCACTTTCTTTGACCAACAATTTCAACATTCTTTCATATTTAGAATTGAAAATTTTATGATTTTCATAAAAATAAAAAATATTAAACTTGAATAATTTTTAGTATTTAATTATTTAACATTTCATTTAAATAAGAAAAGTTAAAATTAAAATTTGTATTTAAATAAAATATTTTAATTATCATTAAATACAAAAATTGTAAAATAATTTTTGTAAATAAAAAAAATATATAATTATTACATACTTTAATAATATCCATAAAAAAGTAATATAATCCATATTATATAAAAACCTTGATAAAAGTCATTTAGTAAATAATTTTAATCATAAAATAATATTGACTAAAATCTACACTTTATAATTATTATCAAAAAGTAGTTTTATTACTGTAAAAAAATACTAACATTGAAAAAAAACCTTTATCAATAAAATTCTCTTTAAGATTAAAGTAACAGTATTTCTAACATGCATTCTTATCAAATTTAATCGAAAATTAAATAAACTAAAAATAATATCAATTGATATAAAAAAAATATGTTTCATATATATTCTAATTTAACGTAATTTAAAAATAAAATTTATTGAAGATAATAATACTGATTCTAATAAAAAAATTATGAAATAAAAAATAAATAGAATATCCTATCTTGTAATAAAAAATTAAATAGAAAACGAATAATTATATTACTATTTGAAGTTTGAAATAAAATAATAACTAAATTTTAAGAATAAATTATGAAATAAAAAACTCTTTAAAAAATTTAAAATCCATATTAAATTGAGTTTTTATAATTTTTTAATGAGATTTAGTTTTATTGTTAGAAAACAATTTTATAATTTTGAAGAATTAAAAATGAATGACTTAATTATTGATGAAGATATTAATATTATAAAAAAAATTAAGAAGAGAAAATATTTTTATTAATTTTCATTTTTAATTTATAAAAATTAAATACAGTTTTAATAAAAACTGTATTATATTTTATCCTAACACATGGATAATGGGCAATGATTAAGGGTATTATAGTCATAACTCATTCCAAAACCCTATCTTCTCCCACTCTCATATTTACCTGTTTTTTACTCCCATTTCCACCACCATTGCTAATTGCTGCTGCAATTCTCTCCCTTCTCTTCAGATTCCATTAGCGTCTCTGCTTCATTTCAGTTTAATATATGTTTTCTCTCTTTTGCATTAGGCTTCCGGAAGAAACTATCGAATTCCATACGGGAAGAAGCTTGTCCTCAACATCTCCGTCGGTGAGAGTGGCGATCGTCTCACCAGAGCAGCAAAGGTTTTTTTTTTGTTCGTATTTTTTTTTCTAATCTCTTCAGTCGTTATTTTTGCTTTATTGTACCAGTCAGCAATTTCGCTTGTGGTGTCGTGACTGCTGCTGACTCAATAAGTTTTCGGACACTGTTTGTTTTTAAAAAGTTTTGAATTAGAGTGAATGGTTGGTAAGGAATAATGGACGAGAAACCCATGAAATATGCATAAATTTTCTTAATTAAATTATTAAATTTGAGTTTGATATATAAGAAAGTAATTATTTATTTTAAAAATTTTAATATTTTTTTGTGTATATTGGAATTTGTTTTTTCTATTTGAATTATGAACATGACCCATGAACTAAAAGCTTAACTCTTACTATATTGCTGTGTTCAAACAAAATTGTGTTAACTTTTTTGTTTTTTCAACGTGTGAACATTTTAACGTGATTTTTAATTATTTTAAATGGTGATTTTAACGTGATTTAATGATTTTAAATGGTTTACTTCCTATGCACAATGGCAAGATTGGAATCCATTCTCTTAAGAAACCTCTGTAGTTAGCAATTGTGTCAATCATCACTTAACTTTAGAGTTTTATTTTCATGAATATTTATTACAAATATTTTTATATTATCCTATGCATAATTTTAAAATAATTATTATAATTTGATTACGCATTATAATTTATAATTAATTTCTTAAAACTAAACATCATAACCTTATCCCTGGTTCTAATTTTTTCTTCCCTTCTCATTAAATAACAATATTTAATAGTATTATTAATTCCTATTATAATAATTAGTAAGAAAACCACTCTCTTCAACATTTTATTGTTATTTTTCTTCTTGCTTAACGAAAACCTGTTTATCACTCGTTCATAGCGTGCAGCCATTACTATCACTCGTTCTCTTTAGGCAGCCACAAAATCTCCGGGTTCATAGCGTGCAGCCTTTTCCCTATTTCTTTGTTTCACTGTGAGAGTTTTTTTCTTCAATTTTTCCCGTGAAATTTCTCTGCAGTTGAAGAAATAGAAAACGAATTATAAGCATTTGGTGTTAGATGGTTTTTCTGTTCACAATGTATTGCAATTTCAATTCTTTTGCATAGGTTTGCTAACCCTTTAGCCTCCACATTGAACCCACATAAATAACAGTTTCTGCAATGAGAACAAACACTGATTCCTCACACTCTTAAACGTATGCTACTTAGTATATGTTTGTTTTCCCATTATATAAAATCAGAATCAAGTTGAGATACCTAACATGATTTTAGGTAAAGTTTCACATACTTCATTCAACATCAAGTAGTTGACTAAGAGTTTAAATAACTTTATATAGTTTTTGCTTGGGACTATACTGAGTTTTATTACTAACTTGTTTTTATAATGAAAACATTGAAACATAAATCGCATCACTTTAAAATTAATCTTAATCAAAATCAATTTTATTCGAAAATCTATAAACCCGTTCTCTTTTATTTTGAGTGTTTGTGTGGCACTAGTACTAGCAAGAGCATTGTTGAGACCTTGGGGACGCGATGGTGCCTGACGAGTTCCACTGTTAAAAAGTAGCTAAAATTGTTCTGTTTTTAGTTTTTTAGTTTTTGCTGCACAAATCTGTTAGAGTTATTTCTACCTCTTCAATTGTGCTCTCTCTTTCTCCAAAATTTGGAAGGAGGTTTAGTGATTGGCCAGTCTCATAGTCAATGTGTGAATATTAGTCCGTGTTAAATTTCATGCTTCTAATTTGCCTGTGTTAAAGTACAAATTCACTACCGAAAAGGAAAAAAAAAAAGAAGCAAGATAATTATGTGCTTATTTCCTGACCTTCGACTGCGTTTGATCCCTGAGTGTCTAGTGAACCAATGCTTGACCTTATTACATTGCAAGTGTTAGTTATTTAAATCAAATTAAATCATAGATGACATTTACATATAGAAAATGGATTTCATTATTACTGATTTAATTTTGGTTTAATCACGGTTAAACTATTGGAATGTAAAAAATATTTTTACTGATATAACTTTAGAACATTGGAAGTGAAAATCTTGACAATGAAACAAAGAGAAGGAGAAGATAGGTCAAGGCTTGGAGAAATAGGTAAGGAATAAGGCATTTGATTTCTTCCAGGAAATTTGATTTAGAATAAAATGCAGGGTTTTAAACTTTTAGGTTTAGGTTGGTAATTGCTAATTTCTGAAACCTGTTTTATTGGTTTACGATGCTGTTACCTGAGTTTCTTGAAATTTTGAAGTTGCGTTTGTTGTGTTGACGAATAAATGCAAATTGTATGGAAATGGAGTTTTAGTGTCTGGAGGGCAAAGGTGTTTGGTCTCCCGAAGAATCTGAACTCGAGTGGGAAATGAAATCGTAACATGGATTTGATTTGAAATTATTGACGAAATGAGGGAGAGAGACGGACACGGTGTTAAATGTATTGCATTTTCTGTGAAAATGAATTAGAAGCGAACTATTTGATTTTTTTTATGTAAGTCTAGATTTTGGGGTTACTTACTGCAGTTGTAAACATAAACTCGTAGTATTGAAATATGAAATCTTGTAACAAGTAGATAAAGTTCTTGTTTCAATTGAAAATTTATTCGTGTTAATATTGAGCTTGGCAAATTGGTAGTACTGAGTTACAACTGTTAACAGCGATTTCATGGCAATCTCTCTGAAAATTTGGTCTTTAAGCGGGTGCCAAACAATGTTGTGTGATCAGTTGACCTCACTTACTGGGCTAAGACTTTTGTTGTTGGTATCCATTTCTGGTAACATTATGCTTCATGTTAATAGAGGTCCAAATTGAAATTTTATTGGTGGTTATATTGAGCTGGGCAAATTGGGACTACTTTGAATTTGTGTTATATATTCACTTCTGGTAATTGGTGCAGCAGGTGAATAGAGCTAGTCAACAACAATACACTCGTTCCTCACAAGTTTCTCATACAATCCATGATTGTCTTACATCCTTTTATTTTCCTTCCTTCTTGCACCACCATTACATGCTCCAAACCTTTTTCTCATGACAATCATTTTGTGCCATCTTCAACACCTCTGCGGATAGTCCCAAACAATGCCAGAACAAAGACATTCTTTTGTAGTGCTAAAAATCAACCGAAGGATTTGAATGGTATGGACTTCAATATAGACATCATTAAGGAAGATCTGGAGCTTCAGGGCAATGTCGAAGGTGGGCTTTTGGGGCAAGGAATGTATCCGAGAAGTGAGGAAAAGGACATTGATAAAGAAGAAGCACAAGAAGGTCAAGATGATGATGATGGATATTCAGATCAAGGACCACATACATGTAGGTCAAAAAAGGATTATGATAAAGATCCAGAACTCGGTAACATTCTGGGGAGTTTACTAGAGAATCCTCAAGAGGCACAATCCCTGGTAAGAATCACTGTCTTAATTGTCTGACAACACAAGGTTTGCACTGAAGAATCTATCTTCTTGTGGTGGTGGTGGTGGAAGAGGGGTATTTTGTTTCTAAATGTGATGTTTGTTATATTTTGAGTTGTTGAAAATTAAAGAATAGCAACTTTGAGCTACTTTCAGTTTTGATACCAAGGGATATTATTTGTGTTTAAATCAAATGAGCTTGATATATTTGCAGTTGGAAGATAGATTAAAAAAGAAGAGGAGCAAAATACTGCACACAAAGACTGGATCTGGAAAACCAATGAAAGTTTCATTTAACAAGTAAGCTCAATCATGCATGTAGGTGGGATTGAACCATGCAGTTTTCCAATATTTGTGCAATTGTGCTTGTGTAGTTGTGCTTTTATTATTGTGATGTTTAAATTTCTCCTCAGTTTGGTGTACTAGAATTTTCTAGTGTAACCTCTTTTATTAATGTACCGGTGTAGTATCTTTGCGAAGTTGTAGAAATGTACGGCGGAGGAATTGAAGTTGTTGTTGTTGTTACTAAATTGGTATAGTGATTGAGATTTGTTAATATATAGTTTCTCTTACATACTCTCTTTCCAACTAGCCTGTAAGACATTGAAACAGTCTCTCTGTTGATCAAGTTGATATGATATGCTTGACTTCAATACAATGTTAACTACTATCAAATTTATTGTATTTTAGGTGGAAATTTTTTTTAGTACTCAAGCTTACCTTTTCAATACTTTTAGGGTGGAATAGGAATAAGTATTCGAATTAGTTTCAGATTATGCTCTTGTTCAGGACATGGTTTGAAGTGAAACTCGAATTCTAAGATGGTATACTCATAATTTTTGGTTTTGATTCCATTGTGTTTGATTTTCTTGAATAAGTTGATATTGTGTTGAAATCTGGTTAGTTTGTATTAATTTTACTTAAGTAGATACAATGGTGTTGCTTCTTGATTGAATGCACAAATACCTTAAGTCTAACAACTCTATGAAAAAACTGTCCGATTTATTTTATTTTTTTAGAGTATTGGTTAGAGTAGAGGGCAAGCCTTGATGCTAAGATAAAGTTGCTTCTCTGTGACCAGTTGAACATGAGTTATAATTTGGAACCAGCCTCTTGGCATATGCTAGGGTATGGTTGCGTTGCAAGAAACCTCCACCACCATACCTTTGTATAGCCAGAAGCCTTATAGTACTGGGGTACTCTAGTTTTTTATTTTTTGTCAGTGGTTTGAGTAATTTGCATTTGAGTTAGTTGTCATGGAATCCAGTTCAGATTCACGTTAAATGTTTGACAGAAACCCTGAAAATTATAGGTTGTTGTCCGTTGATTTAAGGTCAGATAAAAAGACTGAGTAGAGTGACTTGAGTCAGTTTGATGTTTATATAGAAAAAGATAATAATTTAAGATGGCGATGTTTCCGAGATTTTCTAATTCCAATTTTGGATATATGAATTATTAATTGTAGCCTAATAATGTCAGTATATGTTGCACTATTGTGTGCTACTGGTAATTGTAACCTTTAGTCATTTACTTGTTAGATGTATGTTTATTTTTATGATTAGCATATTAGTGGTAGTTTAATGAGTTGAAAGCTGAAATTGGGTGCTAGGTAAAGGGACTGGAATGGGGGATTATCAGATGGATGGGGAGGAGGAGGAATTAGGGTGGTGGAAAGGAGGGTGAGACTGAGTGTAGTGTAGAGTTGTGCTCTTAGTCTGTGTTTTCTTTGCTAACATTTACATTTCCATCTTCTAAGGAGCATCGCGCCATCCATAGTCATTTATTTTCTGTTTTCCTTACTAGCCACTGTTGAATTCCTCTGTTTAGTCTTTCATTGGTGGAGAGGGGATTATTAATATAGATACTTCAATTACTTCTATTAATTTTTTTGTTCTTAACCTCCTGATTGAACAAACTTCTCCATAAGTCCTTATAAAAGAGAAGTAAATAATAGGATAAAGTGAATTGAGCTTTTCCCATGAAGGAAGGCTATAGAGGATTTGAAAGGCTTTGTTAAGGGGATATAGAAGAAATTCCACCCAAACATGTTCATATAACACCAATTTTGCTTGTTAATGTTCATTTGAAGGTGTTTGTCAAATGAGGAGTCCCCTAATTATATATGTAATACGGAAGGGGTGAGAGAGTAGGAAGGAGAATTTACCTATAAGAGGGTTATGACAAATAAAAGTGAGGAGTAAAAGATATTAAAGAGGTAAGCAAAGTAGTTTATTTCTGCTTGAGTTGGAACACACATGATACAAATATTATATATGCTGTTTTTTTCATCTTTATGAAAAAGAATATTCTATTTATCTTACTGTTAATGATGGTATTTCCAGATTTGATTTTTCAAACTCATTCATATGGTTTGAATTCTACAATGTTCCATTGGCAAAAGACATCACCTTAATTTGTGATGTAAGGAACTTTGCTCTTATATTAATTTGTTGTACATTCTCCATGATACGCATGTGCTTTAGTGAAATTTGTGTTGAATTTGGGTCTTTGCAGACAATTCGAGCATGGTACATTATCGGCCGCCTTGGTGGATGCAATGCTATGAATATGCAAGTAAGCTTTTCTCCTCTGCCATGGATACAGAATTTTCGTTCTCCTTCTCCCTTTATTTATGTAAAATGTTCAAACATGACATTCTTGCTTATAGAACTAGCATTGTACCTTCAGCTTTCACAGTCTCCATTGGAAGCACGACCGAGTTATGACTATATTCAGGGAGCAAATGTTGAACCAACTACATTTTACAACATTGGGAATCTTGAGGTGCAAGACAACTTGGCTCGAATATGGTGAAGTGCCAATTGCATGTTACTTGTACATGTTACTGTAATGGTGAGCTGCAAATACTAATAATATCTTCTTGTGATATTACAGGGTGGATATTGGAACTGTTGACCCATTGCTTCTGGATGTTTTGATAAATGCATTGACACAGATAAGCTCCGAGTATGATCTCCACTTTCTTGACTCTATTAATTAATCACTTTGGTTCAGTTATCCACTCATAATTACCCTAGCACAGGGAGCGACAAACCAAGTCTATTTATCTAGGATTAAACAGTGTTCTGATTATTTATCTAGGATTAAACAGTGTTCTGATTATTTGCTTGAGCAATGCTAGAAATTAGTAGTACAATATCGTTTTAATTCGTGCTTGTTAATCTCTATTTGAAGTGAGAGATAACATGTCAAGATTTGGGACCAGTTTAGTAATTATTTTTGAGATTTAAAAAAATGCAGAAATTGATCCACGTTTGCTTACAATAAGAAAAATCACTTTTTTAAGACAAATTATTGATTTTGTAAGATACTGTTTTAAATATTTTTTTATTATGATAAAATTTCTAATTCTTTTTAAATCCTGATTATTTTGAAAAGCTATAACAAACGGCACTTAGATAACAAGTTTTACCCATCTTTTTCATTTTACACCTTGTATACTTTGTTTCAATCCTATCATTATTTTTATTTCCTTGTTTTTGTTTTTCGTAGTTTTGTAGGGATCAAGCAAGTAACGTTTGGTGGATCAGAATTTGAGAGTTGGAATGAGAATTTGAAATCAGAGGAGGCAGGTTATGGTGTTCACAAGATCTAGCCATTTTCTAAGGCATATGATGATTTTAAATTGCTCTTAAAGAAAATTCCATCAAATGGGCAGAGTTGTAAACATTCTCCTGGTTATGACTTTTTTTTCTTTTTTGTTCAGAGGCAGAGGTACTAAAATCCTATGGAATTTATGGATAAAGTTTTGAACAAGAGTAAAACTGGTATATAATATGAAAACTTAGTGAAGTATACTTTTGTTTATAAAAACGCTGGTTCTGAGAGTATGTTTATTGCAATTATGAGACTAAATATGCAGACAAGAGTATGAAACTATGAAAGGATAATGCTAATGAATAGTGATTTTATAGATTTTTTACTTTGCAGCACGAAGGATATGTGAACGTTTGTCCATGTTAATTTCACGTATCTAGTTTACCTAAGTACAAGTTACGTGCTTATTTGGTTGTTTTAAATCACATTAAATCATAGATGATATCTACATATAGAAAATGGATTTCATTATTACTGATTTAATTTTGATCTAATTACGGTTTTCAAATAATTTTTACTGATATAATTTTTAGAACATTGGAAGTGAATCTTGACTATGGAAAAATATTTTTTTGGTCTTATAATGGTTTCCAAAGATTATTGTACCAGACTGCAGTTTCACTTATGGTGTCGTGAGTCGTGACTGCTGCAGATTCAAACTTTATGAGGAAACGCTGAGAGTCTTATCTACAGTGTGAGTCGTGACTGCTGCAGATTCAAACTTTCTGAGGAGACGCTGAGAGTCTTATCCACAGTGTACTCACCAAGTTGATAGCTTTTGTCACTCACTGGGTGCTCAGTGCAGAAGAAGCAAGGAGCATGGATAAGAAGCACATATATATTAGAGATAGCACGAAGTTCTACTCTACTTAAAAAACCTTTTAAAAAAAGGTTCAAAACTCTTTTAGCATTATTTCATGTCTAGGATTGAAAACTTTATGATTTTCATAAAAACAAAAAATATTAAACTTGAATTATTTAACATTTCATTTAAATAAAAAAAAAGTTAAAATTAAAATTTGTATTTAAATAAAATATTTTAATTATCAAATAATACAAAAATTGTAAAATAATTTTTGTAAATAAAAAAATATATAATTATTACATACTTTAATAATATCCATCAAAAAGTAATATAATCCATATTATATAAAAACCTTGATAAAAGTCATTTAATAAATAATTTTAATCATAAAATAATATTGACTAAAATCTACACTTAATAATTATTATCAAAAAGTAGTTTTATTAGTGTAAAGAAAAAACTAACATTGAAAAAAAACCTTTGTCAATAAAATTCTTATTAAGATTAATAAAATCAAAGTATTTCTAACATGCATTCTTATCAAAGTTAATCGAAAATTAGACAAACTAAAAATAATATCAATTGATATAAAAAAATATGTTTCATATATATTCTAATTTAACTTAATTTATAAATAACATTTATTGAAGATAATAATAATTATTCTAATAAAAAATTATGAAATAAAAAATAAATAGAATATCCTATAATAAAAAAATTAATTAGAAAACGAATAATAATATTACTATTTGAAGTTTAAAATAAAATAAAAACTAAATTTTAAGAATAAATTATGAAAAAAAAAACTCTTTAAAAATTTTAAAATCCATATTAAATTGAGTTTTTATAATTTTTTAGTGAGATTTAGTTTTATTGTTAGAAAACAATTTTATAATTTTGAAGAATTAAAAATGAATGACTTAATATATTATTGATGAAGATATTAATATTATAAATAAAAATAAAAATTAAGAAGAGAAAATATTTTTATTAATTTTCATTTTTAATTTATAAAAAATAAAAACAGTTTTTAGGAGAAGCCAGGGTTTTGGAATGGGCTATGGGAATACCCTTAATCATTGCCCATTATGCATCTGTTAGGTTAAAATATAGTACAGTTTTACCTGTCTTTTACTCCCATTCCCACCACCATTGCTTATTGCTGCTGCAATTCTCTCCCTTCTCTTCAGATTCCATTAGCAATGAAGTCTCTGCTTCATTTCAGTTTAATATGTGTTTTCTCTTTTTTGCATTAGGCTTCCGGAAGAAACTATCGAATCCCATGCGGGAAGAAGCTCGTCCTCAACATCTCCGTTGGTGAGAGTGGCGATAGTCTCACCAGAGCCGCAAAGGTTTTTTTTTGTTCATTTATTTTTTTCTAATCTCTTCAGTCGTTATTTTTGCTTTATTGTACCAGTCAGCAATTTCGCTTGTGGTGTCGTGAGTCGTGACTGCTGCTGACTCAATAAGTTTTCGGACACTGTTTGTTTTTAAAAAGTTTTGAATTAGAGTGAATGGTTGGTAAGGAATAATGGACGAGAAACCCATGAAATATGCATGAATTTTCTTACTTAAATTATTAAATCTGAGTTTGATATATAAGAAGGTAATTCTTTTTTTTTTAAATATTTTTTTGTGTATATTGGAATTTCTTTTTTCTATTTGAATTATGAACATGACCCATGAACTAAAAACTTAACTTTTATCATATTGCTGTGTTCAAACAAAATTGTGTTAACTTTTTTTTTTTTCAACGTGTGAACATTTTAACGTGATTTTTAATTATTTTAAATGGTGATTTTAACGTGATTTAATGATTTTAAATGGTTTACTTCGTATGCACAATGACAAGATTGGGATCCATTCTCTTAAGAAACATATGTGGTTAGCAATTGTGTCAATCATCACTTAACTCTAGAGTTTTATTTTCATGAATATTTATTGCAAATATTTTTATATTATACTATGCATAATTTTAAAATAATTATTATAATTTGATTACGCATAATAATTTATAATTAATTTCTTAAAACTAAACATCATAACCTTATCCCTGGACCCTGGTGCTATTTTTTTCTTCCCTTCTCATTAAATAACAACATTTAATATTTAATATTTAATATTTAATAGTATTATTAATTCCTAATACCATAATTAGTAAGAAAACCTTAAAACCCTCTTCAACATTTTAATGTTATTTTTCTTCTTGCCCAACGAAAACCTATTTAAACGAATGCTCCTTCAACTCTTCAAGCGTGCCACAAAATCTATTTACGCAGCCACAATCTCCGGGTTCATAGCGTGCAGCCTTTTCCCTATTTCTTTATTTCACTGTGAGTGATTTTTTCTTCATTTTTTCCCGTGAAATTTCTCCGCAGTTGAAGAAATAGAAAACGAATTATAAGCGTTTGGTATTAGATGGTTTTTCTGTTCACAATATATTGCAATTTCAATTCTTTTTCATAGGTTTGCTAACCCTTTAGCCTCCACATTGAACCCACATAAATAACAGTTTCTGCAATGAGAACAAACACTGTTTCCTCACACTCTTAAACGTGTGCTACTTAGTATGTGTTTGTTTTCCCATTATATTCTCTAAAATCAGAATCAAGTTGAGATACCTTAACATGATTTTAGGTAAAATTCACATATTTCATTCAACATCAAGTAGTTGACTATGAGTTGAAATAACTTATATAGTTTTTGCTTGGGACTATACTGAGTTTTATTACTAACTTGTTTTTATAATGAAAACATCGAAACATAAATCGCATCACTTTAAAATCAATCTTAATCAAAATCAATTTTATTCGAAAATCTATTAACCCGTTGTCTTTTATTTTGAGTGTTTGTGTGGCACTAGTACCAGCAAGAGCATTGTTGAGAACTTGGGGACGCGTTGGTGCCTGACAAGTTCCACTGTTAAAAAGTAGCTAAAATTGTTCTGTTTTTAGTTTTTTAGTTTTTGCTGCACAAATCTGCTAGAGGTATTTCTACCTCTTCAGTTGTGCTCTCTCTTTCTCCAAAATTTGGAAGGAGGTTTAGTGATTGGTCAGTGTCATAGTTGAAAGGCTGCTTAAACTCTAGCATTGGGGTTGGGGTTTCATCATTCAAAGTAAAGCTCGCGAGCTCTCCCCTTGTTTAGTGCTTGTAGCTCTCTGCAAGGTAACATTTGCGATCAAACACACTCAGAAATTCTATAATTTTAAGTAATCAAATTACTCTAATAAATTTCCTGAAATTTCAATCTTTTAAAAAATTTCGATCCAAACAACATATTTTGTCATAAAGTATTTTACATTCTCAATAAAAATGAATTTTCTTCTAAAATTTTTCCATCCAAACACATTATTATAAGCTTTTTATGGATTTCAAGAAGAGGAAAAGAAACCCTTTTGTTTTGGGTGAGGTTTGGTTCGTCTATAGGATTTTATGTTCTTGGACCCTTACTTTGATTTTCCCTAAAAAGGTATTATATGATCAAGTTATCAACTACAATTTTGACATTAATATCTTTGCTTATCATTTTTATTCTGCATTTTAAATATTCAAGGATTTCCATACCTTCTAATTTGGTGGGATGATTTATTTAGAACCAATTTATCAAATGTTCTTCCGTCATATGTTTTTGTCCCAGCATAAGTTATTCTGATTTGCAGTTTCTTTCAGTAAGAGTGATGACTTGTGACTTGTAAAATATAATTGTGTAAAACAAGAGCGCTGAAGTATCAAATATTAAGATCGAACACCCAATCAGCAATTCAATGAATTATTTATGCTAAATGTTATGTGATACTATCACTTATACTTTTATTCTAGATTCTTATAATTTTCCTGTGGGGTGTGCGTGGTTTACATTTGTGTTCGTGTTAAGTTTGGTTGAAGTCAGTCTGGTAATGTTTAAATATTGTTGTCTGATGCAAAGTTGCTGCTAAGCTAGCTTGGCAATCATTTGGCTGTCATGGACGTAGCACATTGCTATTTACAGGGGAATGCTGACGCTGTGGAGTTTTGTCCGTATGATTGCTACCATAATGTTTTAGCGGTATCCACTTACACATTACAAGAAGGTTGTCAGCCCAGTCGACATGGAAGCATTTCTCTCTTCAATGTTGATGTGGAGACAGGCCACCTTGACTTGGTTTTTAATGAGGAAACTGCTGGGATTTTTGACATAAAGTGGAATCCACCTGGAGGCCATGTAAATCCTTTTCTAGCTCAAGCAGATGCTAATGGATACTTGAGAATTAAAACGTTGGAGGGTTGCTGTAATGGAGTGGAAGGTATGGATTTAGTCCTTGGTTCATTTCTATAAGGCACTATTTTCGGTATGAAATGTCAATCTTGATAACATTTACAATTTATTAAAATAAAAAGTTGTCAAACTTGATATTCCAATTAGACTTGTGAAATTCATACCAACTCATAGGCTGAAATTTTACCAAATATAAAAGTATTCAGAAAATTATATTAAAAAACATGGTAAAAACCCATCGTAAGGTATGATGGAGATCCAGATATAGACTTGCATGCATGTGCTCAAGATGAGTTATCATTTGTTTGGCTCCAAAACTGAAGACTCGACTATGTTACTAATAAAATGTCTGAAAGTATAGTTGTTGTAGGTTCTGCTACGTGGTATGTTGGAAGGATATAGTGGTGTTTGTCTAGAAAGTTTTCCATACCAAAGGTAGCTTAGTCCTTATTGTTTGTGCAAAGCCCTCTATTTCACACACATCTTTGCTTCTTCACAATGGGTTCACAGCACTGGATTCTTGTGATTTTGGATTCACAATGGATGCTGAGTTCATAGGCATCATCACTATTGAAGGATGCCAAGTTGACAACACTAAGCTTGATAACAACAAAACTTCATGCTAATTGGCTTCACAAAACAGATTATGCTGAGGTTTTGATTGTTTTGACCCCTAGTGAATATTGCACTTACCTTGATTTCCTAAACAGACAAGCATAAACACTGTTGCTGTGGGTCAATTAAAGTAAAAAATTACATTTTATTTCAATATTCACCGATTCTCTTCTTGACTCCATTTTATTTCAAGTCTATCTAAAATCTAGAAAGGAGTTCAAGAGTCAATTGACTGCCTATAAAAGTGTTGGAATTTACAATTTGACTTAAGAGATTGATAACAACTTCTCATGTAGTTTTAAAAATCCCACGACAAGACTGATATTTATTTATGACATCTGCTATCAGGTCTGTTTTAGGACCTTCTTAAATGTAAGATTTATTCCTTGTGTGTTATGAACACTGCAATCATTATTACAACTTACACCTATTATTTGCCCTTGTAACAATTTTAGTTGCTTTATATACTTTTTTGTTAGCGGCTATTGTTTTTTACTATAGCACTGGGATATGTTTTTTATGCAAATTGCTACTGCTAATGTGTCAAATAATCTGTTAAAGTATTGATGTACTCATCCCCGACATATAAGTTATCTTATATATAAATTAGTATTTTGCTAAAGAGAGATCCTCCTCTCATCTTTTACTCACTTACCTTGTATTAAGATTTGTTATTGATTCTCTGTCAGGGGTAAATCTAAAGGAGATCACTAATGAAAAAATCAGTAACTCAATGTGCCTGTACCTGGATTGGAATCCTTCAGCCACATCCATCACAGTAGGACTTTCTGATGGCTCTGTGTCTATTATTTCTGTTCTTGAATCCAAGCTGGAAATACAAGCAGAGTGGAAGGCACATGATTTTGAACTTTGGACTACCTCCTTTGATACGCACCAACCAAATTTGGTATACACTGGCTCTGATGATTGTAAGTTCAGTTGTTGGGATTTGCGAGATAGACCTCCCAATGTGGTATTTCAGAGCTCGAAAGTCCACAAAATGGGTGTTACTTGCATCGAGAAGAGTCCACATGACCCAAATATCTTGTTGACTGGCAGTTATGACGAATTTCTTAGGGTATGGGATTTAAGATCAATCTCAAAACCCCTTAATGAGACCTCAATTAGCTTAGGGGGAGGAGTTTGGAGGGTTAAGCACCACCCCTTCATTCCAGGCTTGGTCTTGGCTGCATGTATGCACAATGGTTTCGCTATTGTTGCCATTAAAGGTGACAATGCTGAAGTATTGGAAACTTACAACAAGCATGATTCTCTTGCTTATGGAGCAGACTGGCAGAAAGGAGAAGCAAATTACTCAGGTGGGAAAACCAAACCTGTAGTGGCTACTTGCTCTTTCTATGACAAACTTGTTCGGGTGTGGAGGCCAGGAAATGATATTATCTTGTAGAATGTAGATTGTTGTTAAACTTTAACTCACTGCTATGAAATGTGATGCATAATTTATTTATTGATTCATGGTTGCATTATTTTGACAATTTCGTTTGCAATTAATCGTTTGTTTTACTCATTCACAGCAAGAAGAATGAGTTAACTGTCATTGTTTCATTATTGTAGTGTATGTCCCAACCGCAGAAGTTAATTAGTTGAACAGTGCATAAGTTATTGTAAGTGTCTTGTTCTGTGCTTAGTTTTTGTTGGACATGTCTTGTAAGTAAAAATATGAAAATGGCGACACTTGTAGGAAAAAAATGGAGGAATTAAAGATTAATTAGAAGAAAATTAAAATTCTAGATGTCTTTTGGCAAAAACAAGAAAATTTAAAGATTAATTTAACAAAATTAATACTGAGATTATTTATAAATGAGATAAAATTAAATGAAGACAACATGTTAAAACTGTTTCAACCGAAAACAAAATTTTAAAATCTGTCATCTTCAACTAAAAAATTCTGAAAAAAAGAACAAAAATTTATTCATAATTAAATAATTGAAGCTAAAATATACGAACTAAACATTTAATAGGAGATTCAAAATAAGGAATGCATTCACGTTGACCTAACCTTATAAAATAGTATATTAAAATTGATTAACAATAAAAAATATATTAAATTATTCATATTTTAATATTCATATATATATATATATATATATATATATATATATATATATATATATATATATATATATTACATAAACTTTAATAATATAAATGAGACAAATAAAATACAAAAAATTATACATTAAAATTTAGATACTTCTCTAGATGATCCAAACAAACCTAAATTTATAAACATCCCTCAAAATCTTGGAAAGTTAAACAATTTTCCTTAATTATGGTGATTACCTAAAGTAATAGATTTGTGGGATAATTTTTTTTTCTTATTTTTTATTCCAGTTCAAGCCATTCTATTCTTCTTTTTCAAGTTTTCAACGGAATTAAATTTTAACTAACGAATGTGTCTGTTCAAACTCAACCACTCAAATATTTATTATAAAAGATACAACTTGACCATTTTTAAAACTTCAACTTTTGAGACAACTAACTAAACAAGGCATTGCAATTTCTTGTCAACATTGTAATTTAATTATAATGAATTCACATTATAAGCATTTATTATATTATATATGAAGTAGGGTAAGATTTATAATTTTGAATAACTGCTCTTGAAAATAAATATGATTCTTTAATTATTTGATGAAATTGTAAAAAATAAATAGTTAAAAATTATTAAATAAATGAAATTAGATGATAGTATAAAGATTCTATCTTTCATGTATACTTAATGTACATATAATTTACTTATAATTCAAAAATAATGTTTAAAATGGTTTTTACATTAATTAATAGCATGTTTAACATTAAACTCATTAAATTACATGAAATACATTTTTTAAGAGAAAAATATATTTAATTAAAATTTTAAAACATTACAACACATTTTTTAAAAACTTCCTTAACGTTAGTTTCAATGAAACTAAGGTAAGATTTTAGATTTGTATATAGATATAAAATACATCATAAAATAAAATATTTCAGTAACTATTTCTCGTGAAATTAGAGATTAATTATTTCTAAAAAAGATTAGTTTTAACAAACTTTTTTCTCTGATTTGTATGTAATTTTGTCATTTCTAGCATATTATATATATATATATATATATATATATATATATATATATATGTTGGCAAATTTTGGGTCATGTATATATATGATACATATTTAAATGTGTTAGGGTCATTATTTATTAAGCCAAATAATAAAGTGAGTTGACTAAATTAAAGTTTTGGCTAAAGGCATATGTCATGAAAATAAAATTGTGTAGAGACCATAGAGCAATTTCTAATTTGATGAGGGGCCAAATTGGAAATAGTAAAACTTAAGTAATTAACCTAATTCGGTTATCTAAAGGGTCATGGTCCCCTTCGGGAGCACGTAGACGAACGTAAGTTTCATTCCTGTTCCTTTCTTTCTATCCCCATCAAGAGAGAAAATCAAGAGGGAAATACGAGTGCTCTTCAGGTGGAAGACCATAAGATCAATACAGATGCTCTACAAAGACATCATCATTATGGTTAATTCGAGTACGCTTCGCATTCAGTTTACGAGCATGTTTATCGAGTATGAGATTATGTTTATGTTTGATCGTTAGAATCAAAATCAGGATTATTATTATTATTATTATTGTTTTTCCAACATTTGGTATCGGAGCTGCCCATATTTGATTCATGTCTCGTTTAATTTATAGAACCCTAATTATGAAAATTAGGATTAATTTTGTTTTAAACAATTCAGATTACCCAATTTTATGAACCCTAAGTGGAGGATAATCTCTAATTTTTGTGAACCCTAAAATTTAAATTTGGGGGTAACATCCCCAATCTGATTCACGCTTGCTGATGGAACCGTGGAGGAAGCTATGGATTCTTCTTCTTCTTCGTTTTTCACTTTTGTTTCGAGTTTAAGTTTCAAGTTTTACCGAGAAAGAAACAAGTGTTTCATATTTCAATTTTTCTTGTATTGGGTTCTCTGTTCTTTTTTGAATCTTTTGTTTTTATTTAATTTTATGGGTTTGGAATTGGGGGTGGTGTTTGTGGAGTTCCCAACACGGAGAATCTTAGGTAAATGATGAATGTTTCCACATGTTTGGTCAGTTATTATTTTATTGCCTCTATCCCCTAGGAATTTAAGGAAAATTTGATGTTAAATTAGGGTCCGAGTGATTACTCGTTTAATTCCCTTTTAGGGTTTAGAGCGAGATGCTAAAGAGACTCGTAACTATCTCTGTTTCATCCCTAGTGTGATTTTAGGAAGATGTTCATCCTTTATGTATTGGTGGAAAATGAGGCCTTTTTTCATCCTTTGATTTGTTCAAATGAGGTGTTCATCCCTAATGAGATTCTAGGGAGGTGTTCATCCTTAGTAGAATTATAATGAGGTGATTCTCTTTTGAATTAGTTTGCAAATATTAAATATTTGGTTTTGTTATATAAATAAAATATTCAATTTTTGGTAGTTTAATATTTTTTGTGAGCAAATTGAGTCAAGAAGTCACCAAAGTAACTTCTCTTGAATTGGGCAGTTCATGAAAAATATTGAATGTTAGTGTTTGTGTATATTCATGCGAGTATTAGTCGACCCAAAGGAAGATTAATATTTGGCCGAATTGCATACACATTTGTAATGATAAACATGTGATAATTATAAGGATTTGCTTTGTCGATGATAAATCAATCCAAAGACTGGTTTGTTGTTGGACGTGCTTTATTGTCAATGTTTGATTATTACAACAAGATACCTCTAGCAGTTAATATTACTCGTCCAAAGACTTGATATTGATGGTGCATTGGGTGTCTTGAGATGGGTTAAACCATTATTTGAATATATATTTTATTTATAATTTTTTTTATATAATGTGAGCATAATTAGTTTATTTCTTTTGTTCTAATCCAGCTACAATTGCTTCGTGATCCGCCAATTTAAATTATGTTCCGATCCTCAAAAGTATGTTTCCTACTTTGGTCCGTTCGAAGTCAATTTAGCGTCAGTACCTAGTAACACCTGGTGGTTAGACTCAGGTGCAACTACTAACATCAGTGTTTCTATAAAGGGTTGTCTAAGCTACCGGAAGCCAATTGATTCTGAAAGATGAATTTATGTTGGAGATGGCAAATCGGTAGAGGTGGAAGCTATAAGTCATTTTAAATTATTATTAAGTACTGATTTTTTATTTGGATTTGAAAGACACTTTTGTTATGCCGTCATTTAGACGGAATTTGGTTTCAGTTTCTTATTTGGACAAATTAGGTTATTTATGTTCATTTGGAAACAATAAGTTCAGTTTGTCTTTTAATTCAGATATTGTTGGAACTGGTTCACTTTTAATTTATGATAATCAGTATTTACTTGATATTGTGGCCACCTATAATGAAACCCTTAATACAGAATCATGTGGTACTAAACATAAAATTGAAAATACTCACTCAAGTGCATTATGGCACAAGTGCTCAGGTAACATCAAATTGTAACGTTTGGGCTTGTGTTACACTCTTAAAGATATGGTAGAGAGTATGATTTGTCATTCCACCTTACTGGAATCACTTTGGGGAGAGACACTAAATATGACAGCTTATATTCTAAACAGAGTACCAACTAAAGCAGCTACCAAAACATCTTATGAGCTTTGGACTGGGCGACAGCCTAGTCTGAAACATTTCCATGTGTGGGGTTGTCCAGCTAAGGCAAGGCCTTATAAGCCAAATGAAAAGAAATTGGACTCCCGAACAGTAAGTAGTTATTTTATTGGTTATGCTGAAAGATCCAGGGGATATAAATTTTATGATCCCACATTAAAGACAATTTTTGAGACGGGAACTACTACGTTCTTTGAGGATATTGAGTTTGGGGGGAAGAATAAAATCAAGAACTTTGTCTTGGAGGAAGAATCGGTAACAATTTCAGAACCGATTCAAACAGTTACTTTTGATAAAGTAAGTTCGGAACCTCCACAATGCATTGTTAATGAACCCCTTACTCAAGATGATTTGGTTGTTCATGAAGAACAAACTCAAGATCCTCAAGAACCTGTGCATCATGAGCTAATAACTTTGCAGAGATCCACTAGAGAAAGAAGAAGTGCTATTTCGGATGATTACATGGTATTTCTTCAGGAACATGAGGAAAATAATGATATAATGGCAGATGACCCAGTTAACTTCCGTCAAGCTATATAAGGTTCTAAATCTCAAAAGTGGATTGAAGCAATAGGATAAGTATAAGTCCATGCAAGACAATAAGGTTATTGGGAACTTGTCCCATTACCAGAAGGTATGAAACTCATTTGACTTCAAGATGAATATTGTTGATGATTGTATGTATCACAAGTTTAAAGGGAGACAAGTTTAGTATCAATCAGTGTCCAAAGGGGAATTTGGAAATTGAGGAAATGCAAAAGATTCCCTATGCATCAGTTGTAGGGAGTTTGATCTATGCCCAAGTATGTACGCATCCAGACATAGCATATATAGTTGGGGTTCTAGGCAGATATTTAAGCAATCCAGGAATAGACCATTGAAAAGCAGCAAAAAGGGTCATAAGATATTTAAAGAGAACAAAAGATTATATGCTCACATATAGGAGGTCGACCAGCTGGAGATCGCCGGGTTTTCTCGACTCGATTTTGTAGAATGTCAAGAATTTGTAACTTGCTATGAGGTATCAAATCATGGAATATGACTGATAAATTTTGTCACAGTGGTCGCAAATTGTGAAAGGCATTAAAAGACCACTTAAGTTATATTGTGACAATAAATCAACTGTATTGTTAAGGAAAGAGTACAAAGTGGACAGATTTTCATAGAACACTTAAGGACAAACTCCATGATACCAGATCCTCTGACTAAAGGACTTTCGCCCAAGGTCTTTCATGAGCATTTTGCTCACATGGGTGTTTTACAGTTTGAGGAATTTGTGGTTTAGTGGGAGTTAGTCACTTTTATATATTTTATGTTCTATGTTTAATTTCATATATGTATACATTGTTTTTTTTGGACATATTTGGTTATCTATAGATATGCGGTTTTTTTGTTCATTCATTACACTTTGTACATTAAGGATATTATATCGATCTCAATAACTTAAAGTTTGGACCAGTTGAAAATAGACGTGTACAGATCACCTTCACGTAATTTTTCATGCTACACATTTCATGATGAATCCATGTCATTTGGTTATGTTAGGATGAGTAATCTTGTTGGTTTTAGTTGCGATGATGCAATGAAAAGCTGGTTTGGTTCTATATCCTGATATGATTAATGGACAGGACTTTTGGAATATGCTAAAGGAATATAATGACAATTTTGAGCTCATAAAGTCTAACACATTTGTAAGGTTGTAAAGACATATATATTTGTGACCAGTGGGAGATTGTTGGCAAATTTTGGGTCATGTATATATATGATACATATTTAAATGTGTTAGGGTCATTATTTATTAAGCCAAATAATAAAGTGATCTGACTAAATTAAAGTTTTGGCTAAAGGCATATGTCATGAAAATAAAATTGTGTAGAGACCATAGAGCAATTTCTAATTTGATGAGGGGCCAAATTGGAAATACTAAAACTTAAGTAATTAACCTAATTCTGGTTATCTAAAGGGTCATGGTCCCCTTCTGGGAGCACGTAGACAGAACGTAAGTTTCATTCCTGTTCCTTTCTTTCTATCCCCATCAAGAGAGAAAATCAAGAGGGAAATACGAGTGCTCTTCAGGTGGAAGACCATAAGATCAATACAAGTGCTTCTACAAAGACATCATCATTATGGTTAATTCGAGTACGCTTTCGCATTCAGTTTACAACATGTTTATCAAGTATGGGATTATGTTTATGTTTGATCGTTAGAATCAAAATCAGGATTATTATTATTATTATTATTGTTTTTCCAACAATATATACATATATATATATATATATATATTATGATTAAAATATATTGAAAACAATACTCTTTTTATGGTTTCATGCTTATTTAATAATTATTTCTGATTTTATGAATTTTAAAAAAATTTAAAAATTAAAAAGAATAAATTTAAAATTTGTATTCTTCACCATGTCTCTTTGTTAGCCAAGCTTTTTGTAAAATATATATAAAAAAAATACTAAGAACATTTTTGAACGCGTGAAATGCTATCAATTATTGTTTTGAATTTAAGATAATTATGTTTAAGTATTAAGATTCATGCAAATATTTAAAATGAAATTTTAATTGTAAATATTAATTTGTTGTATTATTTAATCATTAAATAATAATATTAAAAACCAATCTTACTTTTACTTTTTATAAATCTAGTATTAAATAAATTTTTGGGTAGTAACAATAGAAGTGTCAAACATAATTTTATTATTTTTTTAGAAGAAAGAAAAAAAAAAAAACTATTTGCTAAGAAAGACGAAACGACGTCACATAGGTAGGTCCTCACCCTCGCAGTAGGTCCCACCTACTTTTTCCGTATATGTCCCAGTCCACCGTCCAACCTTCTCACACCCACCCCTTCCACGTTTTCTTTCTTTCCCAATAGATGGAATATTCCAAAACTCCGTCACTTCCCAACCCACCCAAAACCCTCTCACGTCACGTCGTTAAGCTCCTCCGAACACGTTACTGTTCCTATCAGCAACACATATATACATGCTTCCTTACCTCTCTTCATTCCTTTGTTTTCTCTTTTTCTCCATTTTCCTTCTTTACTTTTCTCTCTGTTTCTTCTTCTGATTTTTCTTTTTTTAAGAATTTTCCACTGGTCATGGCGATTCTAGTTCCGATTTCGTTCCTGCTTCGGTTTTTCTTCCTACTTTCTCTCTTATCCTTTTCTGTCTCCGATTCCGATTCTCCGAGTGCGCACCAGCACCGCGTGTTTCCTCGGCCGCTGATAGTGGAGTACACAGATATGACGGAGGAGGTGCGCGAGCAGTGCGGCGCGTGGCGTGTGGCGGGGGAGGCGAACAACCTGGGCCCGTGGAGGACGGTGCCGGAGGAGTGCGCGGAGTACGTGAAGGAGTACATGACGGGGAGGGGGTACGTGGTGGATCTGGAAATGGTGTCCAAGGAAGCAAGGGAGTATGTCAAGAGTGTGGAACTCGGTAGCGATGGCAAAGACGCGTGGATTTTCGACATTGATGAGACATTGCTCTCCAATCTCCCCTATTATGCCGCGCATGGATATGGGTAATTTACTAAAAATAATTCATTGATTTGGTTTTACTTGAAAGTAAAAGAGTAGGTAAATTGGATAAAGTGAGTAGTTAAGATATTATATAAACATGATCTCACTCCAGATTAATTTTGTTTATATTAACTTTATTGTTTTTTTAGAAGATCGAAAATAAAGGGGGATGGGGAAAGGTAGATTTTCAAGGTAGTTTAGAATTAGTTCATTAGATAATGCACAAAGATATTTTTGAATAAACATTTTAAAAATAAATTTTTAATTTATACATAAATCAAATTTACTTTGTGAAAAAGTTTATGTTTTTTTTTTAATTTTCTTTTATTACAATTTTTTATGCTAATAGATTATTAGCTAAGTTTGTTATTGGGTAATACTAATATTGACAAAATTTCCTTAAAGTTAAATTTATTTATCACTTTAGTTCTGCCATTAAAAGAACCATTTTCCATTTTTTATCTTTGGATTTAATCACTTATATTCGAAATTATTTTCAAAATTTTAATTAAGTCCCAATGTTCAGGTAGTAAAGTGACAATAAAGTAAGTACTTGGCAAGGGGTAAAGTTCACAGATCAAAATTACAGGAATTATGTCATGTAGGGGGTTATTGATGGCAGAACAAAAGTGACAAACTAATTGCAATTTCAGTGAACTATTTTGATCTTTAATATTGGCAGGACTATAATTGTTCCTTTGACAACTAAAGTGACTTATTCAGATTTGTTACAAAATGCTTGTAGAGCTATAGTGACTTACATTACAAACTTGACTTTGGACTTTTAATTAGGAACTTTATAATTATAATAAAAATATTTTATTTTAGCTATTCAATCTCCAGTGAAAATTGTATTTTTAGTCCTTAGATTTAAAACAGAATGATCCTGAACTTACTAGGTTGGTGAGTTTGATATCTCTGAAACTTAAGCTAGTGGGACGAGGGACGGAATTCACCGTTTATAAAACGTCTGACAACCAAAATCATCATTTTAAAAGTATGTGTGCACAGGCACTGAGACCAAGTTTGAAGGAAAATTAAAGGACTTAAGAGTTAATACCAGTTTTGATCAAAGAAAAAAAATAAAAGGAGACAAGGAGAGAAGTTGATTGTTAGAAATAAAATATGAAATTTGTCGGAATGAATGCCTCGAATATTCTTCTGCATTTACCATGTTAACTTGAGTTGTTTTGCTTTATTTTGTTTGTTAGAAGAGATGGCACGTATAATAATTCATACATCAATTTGTTCAAAATAATTTGTTTGTCTATCTCCATCACATTATTTATTTCATTTCATGTTTCTCTGTTTTCATTCTTTTTCACTCTCTTTGCTGTACAAAATGTTTACAATTTCTTGTTCAAATAACATTTCTCGTATTTGAATGTGCTTGCAGGCTTGAGGTTTTTGACCATGAGAAGTTCAACGATTGGGTGGAGAAGGGTGTAGCTCCTGCCATAGAACCCAGTTTAAAACTGTATGAAAATGTTCTGAATATGGGATTCAAGGTTATTCTGCTGACTGGACGGAGTGAAAGACACAGGAGTGTTACTGTTGATAATTTGATCAATGCTGGTTTTAAGGAATGGGACCAGCTCATATTAAGGTAATTTCTAAAACATATTTACTATCTTTAGGACAACAAATACTGTTTGTTTATTAAATAAATACTGAAAGATTGGAATCTGTGTATGTTCTGCTATCAGTTCTGTTATAAATATCTTGGATCTTTCATTCATGCTGGGTGGACGAAATTTAGAAAGCCTCAGGTATCAATGTGTCATCATGACTGAAAGGTTCCTCGAAGCGTAAACATGGTTAATGCATGTGCATAGTTGTAGAGAAGGCCAAATGGAAGAGGAAACCTTATTTACAGTCTTCTAAACTTTTAATTGAGCATTGCATATAGATTTCAAGCTGCTTGGCCTAGCTAATGGTGATTGATTTTTGCTCATTAGCAATCCACAGTTGAGCTACTTCTACAGTTACCATAGGAATTTCATGAATCACGAGAGCACATGATAAGGTCACATAGGATTTGCTTTTAGCAAGGGTTACCTTTAGGTCCTTATCTTTCTACGTAGATTTGCGAGCTGCAGTAATTGGCAAGATCCCATGCTCCTTCCTTATCATTGCTTTTCCTAGTTTCAATACACCTAGTTTTCTACAGTAGGCATTGTTTTTGGTTTATTAAGTTCATATTGTACTTCCTATAAAATCCAAGCGAATATCTTGTCAGCATCAATATTGGCATATCTTGTTAATGACTAGATACTGTTGTCGGATGCATAACAGCAAACTATTGAATTGCTATTATTTTTGAGTTAGACGATAATATGTTTGTCTTCTTAATGTCTATCAATCTTAAAATTTATTATTTATTAATTAATTTAATGAAAGTCTCTATTATTGTGAGTAATCATTATAAATTTTGAAGCTGTTTCATCTATTACTTGTTATAAAGGGAATGAGCACAAACGTTGCAAGTCTAGTGTTTCATTTCCTCTTCAATTATTCATGATATATGCTCCCTATTTTCCTTTTTATTTGAATCATATGCCTTGTAGTATATTTTCTTTGTTGTGTCTGTAAATTCTGTATGGTTTGCCTTCATGTAGATTTTTTGGATTAGGTGTTCATTATTGCAGTTAATAAATCAACTTGCTATTATGAAATGAAGAAAAACGAAAAAGGAAATTAAGAATAATTTAATGCATTCGACCCTTATTTCCTTTCATAATTGATTTCTTTATTAGCAATATTCCAGAATTCCGGAGTTCCACAACCTCTTTGCTGTTCTGTGGTGCCATTGACCATTAGTCAGTTCTTTGTTGTTCTGTGGTGGAACTGATCTACTCAATTTTGATGGACAAATTGTGTGGATACCTGGAACTTAGCCTTATACAGTAGTAGAATTTTGAACCTCAATAGAGTAGGTTGGATGACTTTCTCTTAATTAAATCATAACCATAGGATTCGATTAATATATATTCTTAACAAACGATTGGAAGTGGAGATGCACCAAACACTATCATGATGCTTTATAATGTAGACAGTTTATAGGGTACACAAGGTAATATACATGTACTTGATAGTTGTCTATTTGTTACCCCTAATAATTACATCATAGTCCACGTGTATTCTGGAGTCTTGTTCTTCATATCTTTTTGTGGTTGTTTATATTCAGAGAATCTAAGATCTTTTCTGCTATCATCATATTATGTCATTCAAAGAATCTACCCCCTTGCTTGCACTGATGCTTTCATGTACAATTTTAGGATCATCTTGCTTGTATTTTGCACTGAGTATGCTGAATTTTCTGAATCTTTTATTTTACAATGTTCAGAACCTCAGATGATCAAGGGAAACGAGCTGTACTCTTCAAATCAGAGAAGAGGAGTGAGATGGAGAGCGATGGTTACAGGATTCTTGGAAACTCCGGTGACCAGTGGAGCGATTTATTAGGTTCTTCTGTATCTGTTCGGTCCTTCAAGCTTCCAAATCCCATGTATTACATCCCTTAGTAAAGCCTCATTTATATGCAACTAATTGCTTCTGAACTGTACATAACCAAAATGACTCAATTCATATGCAGAATATCATTGCAAATAATTCATACTCTGTCCTGGAAATTTAATACATATTTCTCAGCTGTTCAAAACTTGTGTGATCGCAAGTTGGGAATTGGGCCATCAATTGTGCCGTATTTTGATATTTAGAAGTCAAACAATCTATTGTTTTCTTCTTTTACAAATCCATCATTGGATGAGTGGTTAAAATGGTTTGCAATGAAAATCAATTTCTTCTGTTTTTAATGAAATCACATGTTCAATTTCATCAAATATAAACATAAATTAATTTGTCAAAATTCAGTATACATACGCACACACATTTATATTAATTTACACATAAAATTTTAAGTATAATTTCAAGTGATGGTTAATTCAATTAGATATATTCAAATATAAGAAATTGATAAGAGAAATCATGAAGGATTGAAATTAAAAGTTATTCAATAATTACATGAATATTTATAAATTGTGTACACTTTATGACTGAATATTAATCTAATAATTGAAAGGAGTTGTTTATATAAAAAGTTCTCTTTAATTTTAAGGAATTCAAATTTATATACTTTATTTTAAAATAGCATTTTTGTTTGATAATATGCTCTTGTATTGAATATGATTTAACTCTCGTGTCTATTGACAGAATAAAAAGAATATGTATTAACATGTTCCTCTAGTCTATGGGTTGGAGTTCAAGGGACCCTATAACTTACCTACAATACAAAAGCTAGTATTTTAGGGCACCCTATAACTTCCCATAAATCAGTAGCTAACCTAAACTACCCTAGTTGTGTCTGGCTAAAATGATGACTAGTTCGTTCAAAGTCCAATGGCTTTAATTAAAGATTAATATCAGTCTTTTGTCTCCGTAAAACATCTACTTTTTTTTCTCTTTTATTGTTCTTCTCTTCTTCTTCTTCTTCTTCTTCTTCTTCTTCTTCTTTTTTCTTTACTTAAAGAGTACTCACTTGTCACTCTCCCAAGGCAACCTTTTATAAAGATTGTATTAATGTCTACCTCTTCCTAATGTCATGTAGTACTTTCCTTCAGCATACTTCCATTATGTAGGACCACTATATTGGTGCCATGGCCTCTTTTGTCAATCTAACATTTTCTGCATTGAGTTATGTATATCAAAGTTGATCCCTGAATACCCAAAAAGTTGCTCCATTTAGAGCTTTCACCTTAGTAATAGTCACTCAAATGGAAGCATCTTAACAATCCAATACCTCACTTCTAAAATTCAAAAAGTTACGCAACTTAAAAGTAATAATACTTCCTTTATCCAAATGTATGAGACATTAAAAAAAATTATGTTTATAAGATTTTTTTGGTTGAATGTTGTTAATTATATTTTTTACTAAAAACAATAATAAATACTTAAAACGAATGGTATAAAATTTTTTCCCCTTTTAATATGATTTGAAAAAATAGTCATTTATGATTCTAAAGTTTCACTCAATTACTTAAATTTTAAATATTATAAAAATAATTTTGGAATAATAATATAAAATTACCGAGAAACCTCTTACTTTAAACTGTTTTAAATAATTTTCTTAAAAGATGTGAATTATTATAACTAGTTTTATAATTATGGGTGGAGAGAGTATTACCATACTTTTAGGGAAGAAAGTGGCAGAACCCAAAACTGTGACAATATTTCTCTGTTTTTAGGAATTAAAATTGTGGTTTATCATAAAAAAAGAAATTTATTGAGTGACTCATATTTTAAATGAATCATTCTTAAATTAAGAAGATGTTATTTTTCACAAAAATTAAGAAGAAATAAATTAAAAACGAGATTTCTTAAAGGTTTAATCACAGACTTAGATAAGATTGATCATACTCATAAGTTACCATGTTTTAAAAAAAACTAATTTAACTAATATTTTTAGTTTTAAACATAATATTAGTTTTATTTTAAATAAAATATATCAATATTATGTTTATATCATATTTAAATTGTACTTATTTAAAAATCGAAATTATCTATATCATTATATAAAATATGTAAGGGCACAACTTTTCACCCTATCATTTTTTTTTAATTAATATCGTTTTTCTCGTTAGGGTTGTTGTCTAGTAACAATCAATGCAAGCTGAAAACTAAATTTTGATTCCAACATTGTTGAAAAGTATGAGTGGAAGAATAATTAGTTTTAAGATACTAAACAAAAAAAAGATAGTTGAAGAAAAAATTATTATAATTTTTTTTATTACTTAATTAAGAAATTAAGATGATAAAATGAGTTTTTGACGGATTAGGATGAAATAATTATTTTTATAATTAAAAAATTATATATTTTATGTTTATAATTCAAATATATAAATATATTATAATATTATAATTTAAATATTAATTTTAATTAAGTATTTAATATATAAATATAATAGTTTTAAAAAAATTTAATAAAATATTAATTAATAAATAAAAATTTAAAAATTATTTATATAATTAAAAATTTTAATTTCTAAAACATATAAAAAATTATTAACTAATTGATTCACTAATTTTTATCAAACAAAATGAATGATGGAGGTTTGAGTGTTTTGGTTTAAATCCCTTTCACAAAACCTTTCATTCAATCTCACAAATCCACCATTTTTTTTCCTCCAACATTCCATTTCTCTCTCATTCGCTGTCAGAGAGACCAATTTTTTATACTCTTCACACACAACACTTAAATCCACGGAATTTATAGAGGATAATACTTTTTTTTATTTTTTTAATAAATCTATCTAAATTCTTCGAATTATAAATTATCTATCCAACCACTTTCTAAAAGTATTCATTTCTAATCTTAATTCGTAAGAATTATAAGTACACACAGCGTTCAACAACAAAACAAAGTAATGTATTTAATATATAAAAAGATTAATTTTGATAAACTTGAAACTTTTACATTCTTAATTAATAAGAAATCACTCTAACTAATTCAATGATTTCCCCAGCTTTTACAATATGCAATTAATTCCTTCCAATTAAATTCATTTAGAACATTATTTTAATTTTTACATAAATAATAACAACAATTTATAGAGTCTATCTATTTTAAAATAAATACTCATAAACAAATATGAAATAAATTAATTCATAAGTAATTGTTTTAGTTGTTTTTTCAAATTATTTTGTGGTAAAAATAAACTTGTGTAATGTTGCAAATCTAAATTTATAGATATTTGACACTGCAACTAGAAAAAGAAATGAATATGGTATGAAATGAGTAGAGTAGAGATTATGAAGTAATGATATTTGTGGCACCAAACTTTTGAAGGATAAATCTAAGAGTGACCAGAATAATAAAAGCAGGATCTGGTGTTGTGGTGTGGCAAATGAGTATTTTCACATCTCATAAGATAACATAACATAACATAACATCAGCAACAACGAGACAGAGTCAAATTGGGATAGAAAGAACATCACATGCCTTAGATCTGTCTCACGTTGCATTCACATTCGGTCATTCCATCCACCGTGTATCTTCCAACTTTTCCCACTTTTTCCATCCAGAATTCCTCCATTCCCTTCATTCACTCTCTCCTACTACCTATGTCCATTTCTGCTTCAATTATTGCACACTTTAGCCACCTCATGCAATTTCCATCCTCCTTAAATTTGTGTTCCTCAACCACAAAGTCCTCTTAACCATGCTTCTCCTTGTCCTATATACCCACATGGGAATATTATCATTGTCCATGTAAAATTAGTCCACTTTTTCATCAACATGTGCCCCTTTCAATCTCTCTCATCACACCCCAGATCTTAATTATCCCATTTATCTAAGACTCTTCTGTGTGTCATTGAGTCCAATTGTGTTGCGAGTAGTCCTCACCACTTAGTTACTAAAAGATCGGGTTTTTCAGTGGAACAAGGAGAACCACCCTCCATGTTGATACTAGTTATTGGACTAGCTTCAGCTACTTTGTTAGTGATTGTTGCAGTTTATGTGTTGTATTGCAAGATGAGAGTGTCAAGATATGAGAGTAAGGACATTGAAAGCTCAGAACACAAGGAGGAGGAGGTGCCTCAGAAGGAGGATTTGATGATCTTTCAAGGTGGGGAGGACCTTACAATATGTGACATATTGGATGCTCCAGGGGAAGTGATTGGAAAATCCAACTATGGGACACTTTACAAGGCCTTGTTGCAGAGGAGCAACAAGGTGAGGCTGCTCAGGTTTCTGAGGCCAGTGTGCACTGCAAGAGGTGAAGATTTGGATGAGATAATTCAGTTTCTTGGAAGGGTAAGGCATCCTAACTTGGTTCCTCTTCTGGGGTTTTATACTGGGCCAAGGGGTGAGAAGCTTCTTGTTCATCCCTTCTATAGACATGGGAATCTCACTCAATTCATAAGAGGTAAATAGATTGTTCTCTTGCCCTTTCTACTTTGAATTCTGTTATTTGGTTCAGCAGAAAATCTGGGTGTCTTGTTTCTTCTGGGAAGGCTTGAGGCAAATCTTGATCTGTAATTAGTTTGAAAATCATTCACCACTTAATCTGTATTACTGTTAGTGTTTTGTTCGGAGATGTTGAATGCTGAATTGTGGGGATTTGGGAATCAAAGAAGAAACATGGAGTTCTTCCTCAGTAAAAATTTCCCTAACTTTTCAACTATTTTTGTGTTTCTTTTCAATGTTATTGGTCGTGCATTAGTTACTCTTAGTTATACGTAGGAGCATTATTAGAAAAATTAGCTTAGAAAAAACCAAAAGGATTATTGTTTTGGAAAAAAAAAAAAACTATTTTTTTAGAATGGATGGAGTAATAGCTATTTCAATAGACAAGTGAAACGATGTTTGCCAGCAAAAGAGTTACATCATTTTTACACAATAGAGAGAGAAAGTGGTAATGGAATATGTATTCTTTGTTCTTGTTTTATTATTTTAAAAGGAAGCAGTATAAGAATTGTGTAAGGTTATTCATTTTTGGTTTATTGTGTACTTCAACGAAATACACTTTTCTTTTATAGTGTCAGAAAGCTGAGTAAACTCATCTTTCTTCTTCTTTATGTATTTTATTGACACTTTCCAGGTTGATATTTACACTACTCAATGGCATTGGTATTCATTCATCTGTTAATATAATCTCTATTAGATTAAGAAATATGTACATTAAAAAGAGCAAGTCATCAAATAGCTATGCAGAAGGTTTCAAACCGAGCTATTTAATTTATTAGACCTACTCTTCACAGCTTATAGAGTGATTTTTGTTTTGCATTATATGTTTCACTTATTGATCAAAGATGTTGACCATGCAGATGGAAATGGAGAGTGTTACAAATGGTCCAACATATGTAGAATATCCATTGGTATAGTCAAAGGATTGGAGCATCTTCACACATCACAGGAGAAGCCTGTTATCCATGGAAACCTCAAGTCTAAAAACATCCTTTTGGACCGCTCCTACCAGCCGTACATCTCGGATTCCGGCCTACATCTTCTGCTGAATCCGACTGCTGGCCAAGAAATGCTTGAAAGTTCAGCAGCCCAGGGTTACAAGGCACCTGAGCTCATCAAAATGAAGGATGCTGGTGAGGAGAGTGATATATATAGCCTTGGTGTGATCATGCTGGAACTGCTTTCAGGAAAGGAACCTATCAATGAGCACCCTACTCCTGATGAGGATTTCTATTTGCCAAATTTCATGAGAAATGCAGTCCTTGGACACAGAATTGCTGATTTATACCACCCTGCCATTCTTCTCAGAAACAGCAGAAATGAGAGTATTCCAGTCACAGAAGAATGCATTTTCGAAGTTTTTCAACTTGCTATGGCTTGTTGCTCCCCTTCACCCTCAGTTAGACCTAACATAAAGCAAGTCCTCAAGAAACTTGAAGAAATTATGATCTAGATTCCATCGGGGGCTTTTGTGATTTTTTTGTGTAGTATTGGCCACTCTGGCAGCAGTGATACTGCACACTTTTAAATTCTTCAAGTTCATCATTAACAATGATGTGGTTGGAGACAATATAACATTTATATATGAGAAATTAGGAAAAAAGGGTAAATGTTCTGCTTACGAAATGTGCAATTGACTACCAGACAAAGACTTCAGGACAGTTGATGTTGATGTTCAGGGTTAAAGTCCCATGAGGAATTATAGCTTTTAACTAAAGCTACCTAATTCTGAACTCCAAATCTCAAATCTGGCTCCCAATTACTGACTTGAGTTTTGAGATTTGTGAGACTATGCTTGATAAAACAAGTGAGTATGTGACATGGAAGTGTCAAAAGTATTCCTCTGATGCCACTCATCCTGATACTAATTGCCGAGATTTGATTGGACATTATTCAGATTCTTTACTGTCAAGAATGTGCTGCTGTCCAAGAATTTGTAGCTAGTACGTGAGTTTTGCTGTTGTGGATAACCACAGAATCTGCAATGAGAAATGGTCTTTATCCACAATGACCCTATCAAATTCCATGTTATGGCCAAAGAGTTGAACATGCAAAAGTGCTAAGGACTCTGAATAATTATGTAGGCCAGGAAGTGGGATCATCTGGTGGCAGATTTTCAAAATCTCACCTAGAACAAGTTACATTGTTTGTTATGGCTAGGTCTCACAGAAATACCATTTCATTTACAGTACGCCCTTTATTTACTTGAGATCATTTTGCAGTTCTTTTATCCTGAGAGACCATACTTTCCCCCTTGTAATCTTCTTCATTTGATAAAATGTTAGTTTTCAGTTATACAACTTATAGTGAAAGCAACTCATTATTGTTTCCTAAATTCAGAGGATTCTGACATTGCACGATTATCACAGAGAATCAGATTATCAACCACCATTGCAGTTTTTAATTTTTCATTGATAGGTTGTAGCTGGTGGTTGGAAGTTAGGTGAGGGAGGGTGTGCTAATTCATTGCTCATACATCACTATCTAGTTTATAACAAATAAAAGATTGTTTGCATTTCTAATATCTCAAAAGACCACAATTACAGATATGAAATTGCAAACCTTTAGTCAAATCGATCTGTGCTTTTGGAAATGTGATATGTCACCTTGACTAAGGACCAATCAACCGTAATTTCTCCATACACCTTGGGGACATGTGGGGGCAAACTACAGTTTTTGGTAGCAAGAGGCAACACTGTGGTTCCCACATTTTCCCCTTTATATATGTAGTAGTAGCTTTGTGGCATGACCTTCTCCACATTAACATGGATACCAACTTTTATCAGTAAGTTTTGTTTTACCCTTCTGTATGATCTTCCTGAGTATTGAAAGAAAAGAAAAAGTGCTTAGAAAATAAAGTGCAAGTACATCTTTATATGATTTACATCATTGGTTCATCTTCATAATTTATTAAAGGTAGTAGAATCCCATGAATGTTTGCTTCACTCTTCATTAATAAATTAATAGGATATGAGCTTGTGGATGTCCTTATCCAACACATGATACTATAATTGCAACATAAATAATCCTTGCTATTCTTTTTCTAAAATGAAAAAATTATCACACCGGAAATCAATTATTGCTTAAGTTGTGAAATGACCTATAACCTAACCAACCAACCTCTTTTTCCCATTACAAATAATTGGGAAGAAGAAATGCCTTAAACTATATATACATATAATCCATTTATTGAAAATATCAATAAAAGAAGTTTTAAATGTTTGATTTTTCAGGAATTTCAAGTTGAGAAAGTAGACTTTTTCTTATTTGGTTTATTTTTAAAAATCAGAAAATCATTTTTTTAAAAGTTATTTTCAATCAAGATTCTCTTATTAAGAGGTAAGAGTGTAACTTTTTTTTTATTTAAATGAACATTTTACTAAAAAGATATCGTGTTATTCTTTTTAATTCATGTTTAATGAGTTTTTTTTTAATAAAAATAAAGCTTAAATATATATTTAGCATCTGCAAAGTGTGTCATTTATATTTTAATATCAAATTGAAAATTATCTATTTTTATTTATAATATTAATAACATTAATTAATTTCTTGTATTTTTATGAGTGTGATATTTAAAAATCAAGATCAAAAGATCATTTATATATTTTTTTCCTTTTTTTCTTTTTAAATTCACCTATATGTGTTTTAAGAATAAAATAATAAAAAAATAAATTTTTAAAATGGATAATATCTAGAATATTCTCATTTATAAATATTAAATAAAAATTCAAAATAATAAATCGTAAGAAAATATGGGAAATGCAGTTTGGTTATAATTAGAAATTAAAAATGATGATTTCAAATTTTAGAATGATAAAAATGATTTTATTTTTTTTACTGGAATTCATACATTTCTATAAGAATTGAAAAGAATGATTTCAAATTTTATAAATAAAAAACAATATAGTACAAAATTTATATAAATAATTATATTTCTTACCAATCAGAGTAGAACTTTAGCTATTCCCAAAATTCATGATTTTGGCAACGACGACAGTTGAATATGAAAAAAAATATTTTCATGGTACCGAACATTCCCAAAAGAAAGAATTATTAAAAGAAAAAGAAAACAAAAGTGTTTTTTAAATTAAATAGATTAAATAAATTTAAATGATGATAAAAGAGAAAACTTTATGGAGATAAGTGTCCAATCCAATGCATTAACTCCTCAAATAATTAGGTAAAGTTATTTATCATTATAGATTTTCTGCAAACCCAATTGAAATTGATGCGTGTTTTATCTTTTTTTCATTATAAAATTACTCTTTTCTGTGTCACTACCTTTTTTATTTTAACCAATACTTTTAAAATTGAATTATTCATCGTGAATTTAAGATTCAAAAATATAATTCTAACTATATTTAATAAAATAATATTTTTATGATATAATAAATATATAATAAATTTATTAATAATATTATTAAAAAAATAAAAAATAATTATGATTAAGAGTACTGATACGTGAACAAGTGCTTTTTAATCAAACAACTATTCTACACTTCCATTTAATAATATAATAATTATCACCTTTAATGACCATTAAAATTTTAATTTTTATTATTATTATAATATTAAAATCAGTTGTCAATTAAATGTTTAAAGAGATGAGTAAATAATTTACGTACACTAACGGTGAGAAAAAAGAATTTTATATTTTTAAATTTATTAAGTATCTTTTAACGATAAAACGGTGATAAAAGAGAGTTCTACGAAAAATAATGTCTTGAATATAAGAATTAATTATGAGATTAATTTTTGTTATTATTTTAATATTAAAATTAATTATAAATTAAATATTTAAAGAAATGAAGTTCTCAAAATAGTTTTTTCCATACAGGACGTGAGTTGTTATAATCCTTTACACATACGTTATATAAAAAAAGAAAAGTCATTGTAACAGTTCCACATTTTGCGTCCTGATCTATATTTTTTTGTATATTTATTGGTGTGATCCTAAAGGTTACAAGTTAGTTTCATATCTTTCACTGTCACTGCAAAGAAAGAATAGATGATCCCCATCTCTAATAACACTAATATCATCTATTTCTGCATTCTCTTTGCTAATTACTTTTGTAGGCTTGGAACCTCCAAATTTTTCTCCTGCAATACAAGTTGAAAGTCAAAGTTAGAAAAAAATAAGAGAAGTGCATATACTGTTCTGTTCAACAAACGATATTTGACAGAAAGATGCAATACTTATCCTCTTATGTGCATTTAATTAAAATTGAAACATTGTAATCTTTTTGTTCCTTATTTTCACATAGTTTTTATAATCAATGTTTACCTGCAATGTGGAGCAGCTCTTCTAATGAATCAGGTAGGATTATCAACTTGGCATGTTGTTCCTGTAAGGTAGTTTTGTGTTTGCTTAGAAAGTGGATGGTAACTCTTTTCTTGAACGATCTTTGTGTTTCTCTCTGAGTTCTATGGTTGGAAGAAGTACTTGAATAAGAGTTTGTGTATATTTTTCCTAAAGGGTAGTTGATAGGGATTTCTGACTCCAAAAACTCTATGATATGTTCATCTAATACCTTCTTATTTTCATGATTCATTGCAAGGTCAGGGAGACTCTTGTTTTGTTGTTGGTCTGCAAGAGGTTTCTGTTTCCATCTTATAGGGTCTTGGTTCTGTTCATTTTCTTCCCTGTCAGGATGAGCTTCATGTAAAGTAGCATGAATATCTCCTTTTTGATCCCCATGTGAATCATTTGGATATGAATCAGGAAAGCTTGCTCCTGTGTTGACCCAGTCATGCATTTGAGGGTCCCCTGGTGAATATTCAAAATCCAAGCCTTCATGCCCCTTTAACCTCTACCAAAATAAACAGCAAAATTGTTAAAATCTTTACTCAAACAGTGCATCAAAAACTTAAACTAGTGATGAATGAAAATAAAGTTATGTAATAATATCCTTATTACCATGAAGATATTTTTCATTACGATTTGTGCTGCTTCTGGATATGCATGTAAGGAGTTCATCAAGGAAGTTCTGCTGAGTCTTAAAATTTGAGAAAGCTCAGTGGTTCGAACAGTGAAAGGTTGTGGTTTACAGTATAACACTCCAATCTCTCCAAACGTGTCCCCTGCATTGGTCTTCTTCAGAACCTGAAACTGAATAACAACTAGGATGTTAGTAGGTTCACTGTGTACTAAAAGTATAAAAAGAAAAAATATTTCTTACGACATACTTGATCATTGTCATCAACACAGCGAATGAGATCCTGCAAAAGTAATCAATTGAAAGAAAATTCTGTCAATTAGCAGCATTCTTTGGGATACATTCAAGTTTAGTTGATTACTGAGGGTTTAGCTTACTCACCACTGCCCCTGAAACCAGCATGTAAAGGTCTGTGGGGGACTCATTTTGAAGTATCACATCCTCCTTTGGTGGGAAATACTCAGCCTCCATCTCTGTAACCTATTGACACAAAGTTACTTGCATTAGTTTAATATGTTAAAAATGTGGTTAACAGAGTATGGAAATTAAACTGGAAAATTATTACCAGATGGAGAAGAAAGTCAGAAGAGACTCCTTGGAAGAGGTAGACCCTCTGGACAATAGGGAAGAATAGATGGTATGCAATGCTTGCACGAATTGCCTTTGGCATGCCATTCAGTGTCTCTTGTTGTTTCATTCCTTCTGTCTTGAACTTCAAACACAAGTGTGACAACATCTGATCCTGTATGTGATGTGGCAGATGATTTCTTGATGCAAATTCTGAAGCTGCTCTCACTGTGTCCCTCTGTTACACCAATATATAAAACATATTATTATATTATGTTTTTTTTTTTCTCTAAACATTTTATTTAAAACTGTTGCAAGAAAATCGCATAAACATAATTCCTGTATTCTGTTCCGACAAACAATTTGTAAAGGTGAAGAGATATGTACCAGCAGACACATGTTGGTGGGTATGGTGTGTGGTTGAGCTACGTGTCCCCATTAAAATATTTTTTATTTTTATATTTATTTCACAAAGATAGTTTTCATATGCATCTTTAGTGATAAAATTCTTTATGTGGAATTTTGTGGGTAAAGATTTTATGGAATTTAAATATATGATAGTGTGTTATAAAAATCAATGGCATGAAAGAATATAATAATCTAATATATCACTGAATTACAAATATAAAAGCAATAAGTTTTATAATAATCATTTTAAAATTATACCGATGATAATTTGTGATTTGATTGACAGTTTAGCACGACTAAATTATAAATTATTTAAAATTTTCAAAATTCCCCTTTATTAAAATTATCAGCTCGACATTATCTGACAAATTAGTAAATTAAATTAAAATATTTCATAAATTAAATATAAATTAATCTATATCCTAAATTATTATGTTTAAAATAAAAATTAATTTATAACTCTTTTAAAAAACAATTTGAACAGAGTAAAACACGTGAATTTAACAACCGTAGAAACGAAAAACATTATCCTTGAATTGATGTTAAAAGTAATTATATTAAAAGTGAGGCCTCGTGTTGAAGCCTGATTAAGGAATATTTATAATTAATTACTAAAACCAAATATTAGAATTATATTCTTTTTTTCGTTATCTTCATCTACATTTTTTATTTATTTTTAAAATTAAAATGTCAGAATCAAAAGCTTTAGACTTTTGTTAAGTGTATGATGATTGAGACTGGGGATTTATTCTAATTCATGCTCAACAAGTTAAAGTAAAAGTTTAGTTTCAGTGTCCATGCCCAATTTATTCTAAAGCTTAAGAAATCTAACTCTATTATAAATTTAAATAATTTTCGAATATGTTTTAAATATTAGTTTAGTTAATTATAAATTTTAATGAATTTTATTTTTTCTTTTGTCTCTAATTTTTTTTTTCACAAGCAGTTTACACTACGTTTTCAACCATAAAATAAAGTGTTGTAAATAATGCGTTAGAGACAACAAAAAAAAAACAATTATTACATAAGAGTTTTTTTTAAATATTCAAAAATATGATAATTTATCATGAATAAAAATTTAAAATTAATGCAATCTTATGTTATAGATTTATTTTTATTGTAGTTTTAATTTGTGGTTTCTCTTTATATTTAGTTTTACTTAATTTTGTAGTTATTATTTATTGAACTATATATATGTAAATATTTTCATTCTGGACTTATTTTTCTTAAAGAATTACTTTTATACTCAAAATTCATATTTAGTGATAGAAATAAAAGTCGGTTAAGTCATGGAAAAGAAAGTTTAACTTTTTTGATATTTTTTTCTATAAAAAACTTTATTAAAATATAAAAAAATAACAAAACTAAAAAATATAACAATGATTTTTTAATGGCTTTTCAGCTACTTAAATTTATAACGGTAAAAAATAATTCTTAAAAAACTAAACTATGAGATTATTTAAGCTGAAAATAAATTAAGTAAAAGAAGCAGAAGTTTGAGGGCACATACAAAATTTCTGGTGCGGCTTGTCCAATGGACTACGAGGTTTGTCATGTTTCCAATGATGTATGAAGTCAATCCCAAGTTGAATAACATGTAGAAGATGTCAAACAACATCTCCCTTGTGTTTTCAGCATGCAAATCTCCATAGCCAGTGGTAGTAAGTGTAACAATGGACCAATACATGGCAGTCACATATCTGTCCCAAAGACTCATTTCTTTGAAATTTGGGTACACAGAACCAATCCATGTTGATTTCGCATCAGGGTACCTGTCTGCAATCAGATAGTTGAAGCATCCAGCACAGTGCACAGCAAACAATGTCACCTGAAGTTTGACCAAAACAACAGCAAGACATTCTCAATCATAGTTGGTTCACATGATCTATAAGGCCAAAAACATATTTCTTAAGTATTCTGATACAAGTTTTCAATCAGAATTAGAGTGTTGTATCATAATTTGTGTTTCAAAAACTTGCATTAAATGTAAGGAAGATATATAGTAGGCTTTATTTAGAGGCTTACAGCAATGAGCTTGGAGCACCTAGTCCAGAAGTAATTGAAGCGAATGTCCTTCTCAAGTCTGAAGGAAATCAGAGGAGCTAATAAGCACTTTCAGTTTGAGAAGTGTTGGAAAATCATAAGGTTGAGTGCATAACATAATGTTGGACCTTGCAAACAGCGAACTGACACGTCTCAAGCGCCACAAACGAAGCATGTTGAGAATTTTGAAGCCAATTTCACTGCTGTGATCAGTGAATAGGAGGCTGATGGATTGAAATGGTGCAGTTGAACAGACATCAAAAATAAACCAGGTAGATATGTACCTGTATGTTTTGAAGAAAGATTACATTATGTAAGCAAAGTTTTTGACATTCATTGGCTTCAGAGAAAGAAAATGTCAAGAGGGTCTGCTGTGATGACTCATAAAGTTTTTGAAATAAATTTCTCCAGAAGTTATTCAAATTTTCTTCTTCGTTATAAATGTTTATGGATAAGTTTCTCAAATAAATAGAAATTATTTGAATAGAGTCTCTGGGAGTGTACCTTAATGCAATTTTCTTTGGATCATCAACAAGAAGGTAGGAATGGTTATCAAGATATGCAACAAAAAATGTGAGAATGATGTCAATGGCAAAGAAGGCATTGACAATGTTGTCTATGATGAATAGTGTGTCTTGCTTGTAAGGAAGAAAGGCAAACTCAAAGGGGCAAATCCAGGCAGAGTAAACAACAAAGACAATCAGAAGCATCTCCCATGCCCTGCAATAATAGCATGTGAGAAGAAGAAACACACAACCACAACAACATTGAGAGAAGTAATTGAATTTGTGTGATACCGAAGGGGTGGATGATTAAACACTCATCACCTGTAACGTGGATCGAAAGGGGAAACTATGCATCTTCTAAGTCTTGTTTCTTGGTTGATTCTTGCTCCAAGGGATGGCAAGAGATCATTTGACAGAAAGCTGCTATATGGAAGACTTGCCATTTGGAATTCATCAACACAGAACCTCTTGAAAAATTTTTGGCCACGGGATAATGACATGGTGATGAGTTTGAATCCTAAAGTAGAAGTAGTAGTAGTAGTTGTTGTTGGCGTAAGCTCTTGTGGTGTTGGATTGAATTGAATTGAATGGCCCCTGTAATTGAGTAACCATATTTATAATGCGGTTCCTTTGACTCAAACACGCGTTGGTTTCAGTGGTTTCAGAATTTGGATCCCTTTTCCCCTACCTTTTTGTTGAGAGGCCTGTGACATGGCTTAAAGGAATAAGTAAGAAAGCTTGTGGGCCTAGTTTGGAGGGAAAGGTAGAAAAGGTGTGATAAAAATGAGGGGTAAAATGTTCCATCTTCTACAAAACACACATAACCTTATTCGAACCAGCAGGGTCAAGTCCCCACACATCGTGTTAGGACCATTCAACAATACAGCACAATACAACTCATTTCATGTGGGAATGAATACAATACAATTCATGATATGATCTTGACTCTCTCAAGGTGAAATTTTGGTAGTCTAATTCCAAATGAGATCAACCTCTTGATGCCTTTGCAGATTGCTTCAACGTTACAGCCTCTGTTTTGAAAGCATAGATTCTGAAAATGAAAATAGTGATGATTTTCATTTCAAACATGACCAAAGACCAAGAAGCTAGAGTAGAATAATGGAAATTTTAATATTTTTCTTAAGAATTTTGATTTACAATCTATCCAATAAAAATTTTAATTCTATTTTCCACCACGTAGAGTTAAAAAGTGCCCATTTAACTCTATATTACTTTTCAAAGTGGTAATTATTTAATTTCCTTTTTTTATTATTGTAATATTCTCTGTTTATAATATTTATAAATTTGAAAGAATTTTATTTGCAGTGTAAAAAGATAAACAATATAATATTAACAAATGTTTGAGTAAAAGTTAAAAGAAATTAAAATTTTTACGGTAATAAAAAATATTCACATGGGTGAAAATAAAAATAAGACACGTGGACTAATAACATAATTACAACTATACAAAGTTTTTCTCCTAATTTTGATTAGGAGGATTTGAATTGGCAGACAGACATGGGAAAGCTGCTGATTCTCACAGACCTTTAATTCGATGTGGGCCACTCATAGATGCAATTAATATTTTTTTCTTCTAGTAGATATTTTCAATCTTATTTTTTAATTTTTTAATTATAATTTTTTTTTACTAAAATAATATTTTCAGTTATTATTTCATCATGTTCTGAAATCGAATCTTTTGCTTAAAAAATTTAAATGTGAAATCATTTATATTAACAAATTTTAATAGATGCAACTTATTTCACTCAGATAAAATTATTATATTCTCTTTGTTCCTTCATAGCACTCATCATTTTTTACAATATATATATATATATATATATATATATATATATATATCTTTAAAATGTCATAAAAAATTAAAGACTATTTTAATTATATTTTACTAATTATATGTATGTATATATTAATAAATATGATTTAAATGAATAAAAAAAATAATATGTATTTTTATTAGAAAGTCGAATACCTCATAATATATTTATTTTACAATAAATATATGATTTATAAATGTATTTTAATGATTTATATCTTATAATTATATATGTAATGGTTAGTTTAATAAATATAATAAATTATTATTTAACTTAATTAATTTGTAAACTAAAATAAAATATAAAAAAAATTGAGATTTTCTCATCATATTCTCTAAGATAATAAACTGTTGAACTTCATATTTTAAGTCAATTATAAAGTAAGCTTTGAACTCAAATATATTGATTGGAGAATTTTACTGATGATAATCAATGTAGCAAAATATTTCTTTTAAATGAGATATTTAAGAATTATTTTGATGTAAAGAGTAATATGCCATTTAAAATTTTCTTAGCTTCCTTTGCGTATGATAAATATGTGCAATCTCAGTTTTCAAATGTATAAGTTTGTGTCTAGTTCTTACTCTATAACCAAAATATTCATAGTTAAAATTAGATATTTATTTAAATTATAATTAATATAATGATTAAATTTTTTTTATTTTTAAATTTATTATTTAAATATTTTATAATAAATCAACTGTAAAAATAAATAATGAAAAAAAAAGTTAAAAAATTAAATTTTATCAATAATATTAATAAAAAAATGTTAAAATTAAATATTAAAAAAACTCGAAAGTTAAATATAGTATTATCTTAAAAAATAATAAGATATTTAACTTAATTTTTTATAAAATTATTATATTCGTCTCAACTCAATTTTATAAAATTATTATACTCTCTAATATCTTACGTATAATTTTTTAACAGTAATATTTTTTATATTTGTCCATATCAACTTTTATATATTCAATGAGAAATTTTGTATTGATATTGTAACTTTATATGATGCATGCTTTCCATGTATGACTTATTCCCTAGTCAACAAGTACATATCCAGTTCATAATTCCATGGAATTTTTGCACAATCTTATCATGTTTTAGTAAATAAAAGGTTTAGTTTAATGACATGTATGAATAGATGTACTTGTATACATAATCTTATTTTGAAATGTGGCATCTTATGGCATATAGATTTCATGTACATATCCGTGCGAATGTACATGTACAAAGTCTAAGGGGTAGAATGAAGTAATGGTTGATGTGAAGTTTTGAAGAAGTTATGAAAAAGGAATAAAGCCAAAAAAAGTTTTTTTTTTTTTTTATAAAAATTGGAAAAAAAAAAAAAAAGAGGTATAAAAGACAAAGGTTTCTTTTTTGTTCAACGATTATGAAAGATGATATAGAGTAATAGTCCTTATTAATATTTCATCTTTCAACCTTGTTTTTTATTTTTATCATATTTTATAAATTTTTTAAATTGATGGAGGAAAAAAATTATAGAATTAGTGTAAAAAACTAGGAGGATGTAATATATATTACAAGTGACGGATCTTGATCATTGATCTTGAGAGAACCAAATAATATATTATTAATAAATAATAAATAAATATAAAAGAAAGAAAAAAAGATAAAAATGTAAAAGAATAAAATTGTGGATATATACTTAAATATATTAAATGATTATTAAGTTTGAGGGGAAGAAAATCATAAATTATATGAGAGTTACAAAATTGAGGAAAGTTGAGAGGATAAAATTGTAAATATATAAGTAAATATATTAAATGTTCATCAAGTTTGGTGAGAAGAGGTCAAAATCATAAATTACATGGGAGTTATAAAATTTTGGGGCCTATAACCCGTCAGCTACAAAGAAAATCTACGGTATACAAGAAATTTACATTATGTATATTGGGTTAAGGATTTTTTTATATATATCATTAAATTTTGTCAATTTTATTCAACATGGAACTTAGATTTGCTTGAATATATAAAAAGTAGTTGAAGATTATTGTGTGGGAGCTCTTTACAATGGTTTGGCAGCAGCCTCAAGAAGCTCGTGAAAATAGCCTAACTTGGACAAATGTGGTGATGGATGCATGTGTGTGTGACCCCATGATTTGAGCCTAGTACTATGAACAGCTTCAAAGTTGTGGTTCTAATTCCTGCAAGTGCACTCCCACGAAAGCATAAAAAGTGAAGATGGGGCATGAAGTTTGTGAAAAAGAAGGAAATAATGCACCTAGCTGTACCAAATTTCTGGTTATTGGGTTTCTTACGTGCTCTTCAGTTCATGAATTTGTAATACTTTCCATGAATAATGGAGGGTTTGAGAAGAAAACGTGTTCCCCAATAAATGGGCGCATTTCAAAGAATATTACTTTAACTCCAACATCTCATGAATTTTGTTGTGTCCAGGGACCAGTCATAAGCCAACGCATCTTTAAAAATTTTAATTTACAAAATGATTTTAGTAGATCGTTCAAGAAAGTTTATTAACAAGTTTTACAATTTAAAATAATATCAACATTTTAATTAAAAGAATTAGCCTATAAAACTTATTTAAACTTGATCAATAATAGATTTAAAAAAATGATTGACTCTTAATATAATAGACATAGAAAGTTTTGATTGGGCAAAAGAATTGTTTCACTAAATAAATGAATATTAAAATTTGACGCCATTGATTGCATACATATGAAAACGATTCTTAGAATATATTTGATATCATAATTAAATTATATTTAATATCGTATATATTTATCATAGGTTAATCTTAAATACATTTAAATCATTTATAATTTATAATATTGTATATAATATATTTATTTTTATATCATAATTAATTTCATTATAATCTTAATGTAGATTAGAAACTTGTAAACCCTAAACCACGGAAAAGAAACAAGCAAAAATAAGCACGTTGATCACTGATTCAGAATTAAATATTTTTTTATCAATAATCTAATTGTACTTATTATTATAAGTCACTTTTATCGATAGAAAAATTAATAAAAAATCTTACAAAAATTAAGAGTTAGAAAAAATATACATTTTTTTATAAATTAATTTTAATCTATAAAGAAATATTTTACTGTTAAAAAAACAAAATAGTAATAAGATCTAATCTTTTATATATATATATATATATATATATATATATATATATATAAATAAAACGATATCTTTATGTTGGTTGAGATTTATTATATATTATTGATGTAAAAATTATAACTTTAAATATCCGTTGATAGTTAATGTAAAAAGAGATATATAAACCACCTATATAATATCTTTAAAAAAATATAAATTAAGAATCATTTTATATCAATCATCTCTACAACATACATAAAAAAGTTTATATATTGTAAATATTTAAGAGAAAGTTAAAATATGAAAAAAAATACAAGTCAAAAGTTAAATTTATCATTTCTATTTAAAAACTCAAGAACTCAAATACCATAATTTAGTTGTAATTTAATCTATCTAACCTTCGTTATTAGATAATTATTACATCTTATTATAGAAGTTTATTAGTTGGGTTGTGGAGAAATTTTATGATAAGAAATAAATGTGAAAATTTTTGTCTAATAAAAATAAGTTAATATAATAGATTTTGATATAATATATATGATAATAAAAGTTAAATTCGAAATAAATATAAA